TGAATCTAGACTTGAAGGAGCTGAACACACCCAATGAATCTACCTCCGCCAGCTCTTCGGCAATGGTTGAGAGACCGAAAGGTCTCGGCTAAGATGGTCAGTGTTGGGTTGACTCGTTTCGAAAGTTGCTCAAACAGTTCCACCACGGCTACATCAATGTACCCCAAAGTCTTCGGGAATATAATCAGGCCATACAGACCCAGTGCAAACAAGTTTATTGTCTTTCACTTATCGGGATGGTCCTTCATCAGTTGCTTGATATGAAGCCAGGCAATTCCTTCCCCACTGCCTTTACATCGAGCTCGGTCTGTTACTCATCTTTCGTCAACCCCAACAACCTTGGCTAGTGCACTCTTGAAAGGTTGACTTTTGATGTGTTTAATATAAGCTCGCTCCAGTTTGATATTTTCACAGTGCAACAGTATAGTGCACTCTTCAATGGTGGGCACCATGTTCTCCTGATTAAAAGTGAAACAACTGTATCCCGGGTTCCAGAACTGAACCAAGGCTCTGATCAAGGGATCATCAGTTTTGATTTGAAGCAATAATGCAATGTCACCGTACCGTTGGCTGAACTTCTGTTTCTGATCATTCTTCTAACTGCCCCAGATATCCTGAAGCTCTTGCACGTCGTTCTGCTTTAGGCTGATAGAGGCGTAGCTAAACAGCTCTGACACATAGCTTCCTTGAAGACTATCTCCATTTTCCTTCTGAGTCTTCTCGGACCATAGTCGTACCTCGAGATTTTTAATCTCTTGTATTATAACACCTTTATCCATTAATTCAGATTATTTTGTGTAACAAATACCTTTTTAGGGATCAATGGCCTCTTGTTATGATGCAAATGCTTTAAAAACAAACACAAAGGCAAACAGTTAATAAAATAAAAATAAATAGAAATAAAAAAATTAAAAAAAATGGAAAAAAAATATAAGAGAAAAAAAATGGTTAGGAAAAAAATGTCTTAGGTTTTGGAATGTGGTTTTGGGGCAGGCTCTAATTCTCCATAGTCTTTCGGTTTAGGTTCTAAAAAGCGGTACTCAAATTCTCCTTGCCGGTGCCCCCTTGGGCTTACCAGACCCTTAGTTCTAAACCCATCACAGGTTTGTGTGGACTAAGTTAAACTCGAGAGGACACATTCCCTTATGTCTATGCGGAGAATAAATTCACACGAAAACACAAGGTATATGAATCCCGAAGGCTACTTGCTAGACATATGCGGTGAATAAATTCACATGAATGCGTCGCTTTCACCCCCACTTAAAACGGGTTCGAAGCTCGGGTATAGAGCCTTTAAATGAAAAAAAAAGTTCTGGAAGATGTAATCATTAGAAAACGATCATTCAACTATTTACTCGGAAAAATATAACCAAAAGTAAGCAATAAGGATTGAAATGTTACCTTAAAATTTAAACTTACCCTTTTCATTAAAAAGACAACTGGGAATTACCTTAGCCTGACTCGCTTATTTGTCCCCAATGGAGTCGCCAAGCTGTCGTGACCATCTTTCGGTTGGGCCCCAGAATTGGGCTTCGACTTAGGAAAATATGGATTGGAGTCGCCACCGATCTTTTATTTTAAGATAAATAGGTAGATCGGATACCTTATTTCTTACATGATCTGCGTCTTACCAAAGATGTATCGGATTCGGGAGTCGGTTATAGTCAAGTAAGGGTTAGCACCCTTGAACTGCCCTTTCGGTACTATGTAATTTTCAGTTGTCTTAAATTAAGAAAATTATAAGTTAAAATTAAAAGGTAAAAATACGATCCCAATTACTTACCTTAGATTGATTTGAAAATATCCTTAAAAAATCGAGAAATGTGTTAGATAAACAAGGTAAAGAAAACAAATAAGATAAAGAGAATAAAATAAAAGGGAAAAATAAAATAAATAAATAAGATAAGGAAAAAAATAGTAAAGTAATAACTATATATATAGTAATATTTGAAAAATGAAAAAAATATACATATACATCAAAGTATTAATAAAATAAATAAGCTATATATATACAACAAATATTTAAAAATAGAAAAGTTACCCTCTCACTTCACCGAAAGTGGGGGGCTTTAGTCAGAAATAAGATAAAAAGAGGAAAGCGGGAGAGACTTTAGTTAGAAATAAAACAAAAAAATGGGTCCTCTAGGTTAGTAATATATAATATAATGTTTAATAATAATAATGATAAAGACACAAGGTTTTAAAAAAATAATATAATAATGAATAAAAAAACGAAAATAAATAAATAAATATAAATATATATATATATATATATATATATATATATATAAAGTTATAAGATATATTACGTAAATAATCAAATAAAAATAATTAAGAATATATATTAATAATAGGTATATAAATAAACTATTAAAAGTATAAAAATATATATATATATATATAACTAGATAAAGATAATTACAATATATATAGTAATAATAGACTTATAAGTAAAATATTAAAGAAATATATATATATATATATAATAATAATAAAATATAGTAAAAAAATGAAAATAATTTAATATATATATATACGTATAATAATAATAACATGAATAATAAAAATAAATGAATAAAATATCCATATAATAAATAAATGGACTAATATAGATTTTTAAAAAGCTCTTCCCCTCCTTTAACCGAAAATCAAACCGGTTTTTCAAAATAAGCCTCGGGGAAGCGTAGATCTAAGAGAAAAGATCTTGTTCCCTTGTGTTCATCGACCTTTCCAAAGTAAAAACGGAAAAGAAGAAGTGAAACAAGCCACATGCAAGCGATAATCGAAGCAATATAGGTAAAAATACCTCTTTTATCTCTCTGTTGAAAATTACAAGTGAATCTTTGGGGCTTCTTGCGTATTGCTTTGGGTATTTTTTTGTGTGTGCGTAATCCCGTATGATAAACGTGTCTTACAAATGGGAAGGATTACATGTATTTATAGTGAAAAAAAACTAACTAACAATAGAATCCTAATGCAACTAGACTCCTTGCTCGGTTGTTGCACCTTTGTTGATGTGGTTGTTGCTTTAAAAGATATGGTGGTGGAAGAGTCCTCTTAGGAGATGAACTCTTGCTAGTTCTATCTTTTAAGAAAATTGGTGTCTACAATAAGTTTTGGAAGATGTCTTAATCATTTAATAAATTCCGAATCGTATAATTCTTAGTTCTTAAAATCTTGATTAGGTTTAGTGTTTAGACTGCACATAGTCTGAGAAAGATGTCGTGTTTTTTGTGAGTCTTCTCATATACGTTAGACAAATCAGACAATTTCCTACCAATATTATAACATTCACACTATATCAAAATTAATTTTCTCAATACTTTAGATGAACCATTTTTTCAAATCATTTTCTCAATAAAATTATTAAATATTAATAAAATTACAAAAAATAATTATTTTAAATTTTATTCAAATATAATTTCATAATTAGTATATATTAATTAAATATTAAGATAAAGTACACGAATGATCTTTTGATTATAAGATGTTGCTTTGTTGAATTCTCGAACTATTAAAAATTACAAAATGGCCCCTTAACTTAAGGGCAATGTTTTGTTGAGTCCCTTAACTATTAAAGGTTGCAAATGGTCATCTAACTATTTATATGTTCTAAACTTATCATTTTTTGTTAAAAAATTGATAGTTGGTTGAGTAAACGTTAACATGTTGATTGAGATATGATAAAATCTAATCTCAAAATTGGTTGAGTTGTATTTATGGACCGACCGTCTATTTGTTTACATTTTGCCATCGAGTTAGTGCTTGAAGCATTGTATCTTCGAACCAGTGCTTGAAAGCATTGACGATGCCAATAGATATCATTAACATAAGATTTTATCATATCTTACCATATTAACGTCTAGTTCGGACAATCATCAAATTTTTAATAAAAAAGGACAAGTTTGGAGCATATGAATAGTTAGATGACCATTTTGTAACTTTTAATAGTTGGGGGACTCAACAAAATATCATCCTATAATCAAGTGATCATTTTATAACTTTTAATGGTAAGAGACTCAACAAAGTAACACCCTATAGTTAAGGGATGATTTGTGTACTTTAACCTAAATATTACAAATTCATTTTTATTTAAGATAATAGTTTTATGACTTGTAATTTTTTTATTAAGTTAATATGATTATAAGGTAGTATATGTTCTAAATACTTTCAATCATTTGACATTAAATGCTCAATCACTTTGCTGCAGTCGTTGGTGATCAAACTCGTAATCTCTAGGAACATCAATAATTCTTTTAATTACTTAGGTAAGTTGATTCACGTGTAAATTTATCAGTTTGGAATGGTTTTTGCTTTTATAAAGCACTTTTTAACCAAAAGTTCCAAATATGATGATAATTGCTTGATAAATAGTTCATCTATATACAAATTGAGATTCTAGATTTTCGTAAGTTATGTTTTGATATTTTCTTCGGCTTTATACTTTTTCCCTTTAATTATATTTTATATTGGTTTGATCCCATCATTTTCATCTATTACCAGTATTTTAATTTTTGGATAAACAATAAAGCTTAATAAAATAAAATAAAAAGATGTTTATTAGAAGATAGTAATAAAATAATAACAAATAATTTAGTGAGTGTGAGAGAGGATGGGGAATGATGAAGAATAACTAATTTGGAAAGAGAATGGGTGATTTAAAAGAAGAAAAATTAATAAAAGTTTTAATTATAAAAAAATAATTTTATTGATTTATTTTAAATTAAATTGATAAATTTTAGTAAGTGGCTAATTAATCAAGGGGAACAAGCAACTATCAATGTCAACACAAATATCAACCAAATCATACCAAATACACAACAATACAATAACTTAAATTATAAACAAATTAAGTCCTTCCTTGAATCATTCTCCACTCAAAACAAACATTTGTATCAATATCACCAAATCTCAAATTATAAAACAGTTTTTAGATCAACATTATTTCTTGAACACAAATTATCTATGACACTGTTGTTGCTTCTTCTTTTTTTAATTAAGAGCCCAACATACAATTGTCAAATCCTTACCTTACATGGTGCCTTGTTCTCCTTGATTTCTTGTGATCTGTCGCATTGTTAACCTTAAAATGCCGAGATTTGGGTGGAATCTTCTTGTGGTTTTGACGCAAATCCACGACCAGGTCAACAAAAGCACTCAAGATGAACTTGTGAGACTTCTTGTCATTCAAGTTCAAGTAACAAAACACAAGCTCTTCCATGAAATCCCAATCGATCTCCGAATGATGATTCATCCTGGCTTCCACCATTTCTTGCATGGATCGTCGGAAATCATCGTATGGGTTATGAGAATATGTTACCACCGCAATGCACTCGTTCCGGATATTGCTCAGCGACTCAACAGCGACGCCATCGCCGCCAGTGCTGTTGGAATCGTTGGAAACAACGGTATTGTTGATTGAAGCTGATGAAGTAGAAGTCGAACCCAAGTTCTCCGAAATCGACATGGTGGAGTTGGTGCCGCTGCTCCGAGCGTCGTCGACGAGCGAACTCGACAACCCCGTCGACACGAAGAATCTGTTGGAACCGCAGAGGTACGAGGGAGGATCCATAAACCCCGGAGAATCAAGAAAAAACCTTCCAGAGGTTTTAACCAGATGATCATCTTCTGACCCAACAGTGCATCTCCTTTCATTAATCTCATCATCATCTCCGATATACAACGACTTGAAATTTTCGAAGAGAAACCGATCAACATCCGCAAGAGTGGCCGCTTCGTCATTATTATCGTTGCTGGTTCCTTTACGACCGTGATTTCCAGCAGGATTGACTGCAAAAGACAAGGTTTTGGGGTGTCTACATCGTTTGAGGATCCATTTCTTGGAAGAAGAGACTGATTTTGAGGAGAAATGGATATTTGGGGAGGTACTTCTGACTTTGGAGAGGTAATCCTTGAGAGATTTTTGAAGCTTCTTCGACATTTCCTCTTCCTCTGTTCATGCTATTCGGTTTATCCAAGTATAAAAAGCCAGCCCATATGCAGGGATATTCACCTGGTTCATTATAATAATATTCTTAGAAGCTAACTCTTTGAAACATTACCTTGTCAGGCACTTCATGGGAATTTGGAAAATAAGGTAGGCTATTAAATAATGAAAGATTTACCCAAGGTAAATATGAACAGCGTTTTACCGGGTGGTTGTGATTTAGAAGATTTATGTGGAAAGTACAAAATCACTAATCCGGGGATATCTCAAGATTTAATACTTCACTTCCATTTGGAAACCAACAGAATCAATTAAAAGTTGGCATTTATTTAGGGGGTTTCCTGATGGTTACTTTTTTTTTACCATTGAATTTAGCATTAAATTTTACAGTTTCATTTCTTTAACGGGTGCTCTAGCGGATTAAGAATTATTAATTTATAATATTTTTTATTCTAATATATTATTTTATCAAGTTTTAAGAATAATTTATTATTTTTTCGATTAATTTAATACTGCTGTTGGAAAATGATACGGGAGTAAAATAAGATACGGCGAGGATGTGAAGATAATATAGTACTTTTATTTAGCTTGTAGAGATATAGACGGTATTATCTTAGAAACTTAATTTAAACATGAAACAACTTAGATTATAATTATATTAAAAATCATAATTTTTGGGTATTAATAAAATAGCACCACCTAATTATCTTTTAAACACATAAATTTTAAAATTTGAACTTCAACTAATTTTTAATTTTAAAATAAAAGATAAAATAATCTTTTTAACCCTTAAGTAATAATAAATACTTTTCATCCTATTTTTGTTGCATTTTTAATCCTCAAATAATTACTTTTTTCTCTCAAATTAGTCAATTAATCGGAGGTTCCATTAAGTCATGACATGGCCTCCTGACGATTTTCATTCCATTTGAATACGGTGGCATCCCCATCGACCATTTGCAAACCCTTGCCGTTTTTCGGTTGTAAAAGCTATATTATTCGTAATATCCTTGCCTTTTTCTGGTTATAAACGCTATAATATTATTCGTAATATCCTTGCCTTTTTATGGTTTGTGAACGCTATAACATCATTTATAATAATAAGAATATTATCCTTATTATTTTTTATGTACATGTTAATATAATTAATTAAATAATATTTTGTTATAGAAACAACTAATTTTATTTAAAATAGGAAAATATCAAATTACAATAAATATAGATACAAACAAATCTGATCGCATTGGCAAACGAATCACAAAATGGTATAAGCTATTGAAAGATCATCGATAAACCGTAAATCAGACTTGAGCAATGTGAAAAGCTATCCACGAATGCAAATCCGGTATCCAAATCCAATCCGAAGGTCCAAAGCAGGAAGATCAACAAGATATTAATAAGTGACATCTTGATAAGTCGTGGAGATGTAAAATCAACTCTTAAGAAAAATATAAATAAAAAAGGCTAAAGAATCACAACTTGCCAAAAACCATAATAAAATGTGTCATAAAGGTAGAAGAAAACGTGCAATACATACAAACTTATTGAAAATAAAAAATCAAAAGAAAATAAAGATACAATATAAAAAAGAAAAAGACAATAAAGAATACCGACGGTCAGCAACCAACATTAAAATTAGTGCCCAGGTAATTAACAAAGACAAAAAAAAAAGAGATGAACGCCACACCAATTAATTAAATAATATTATCTCTAAATAATTCATTTTGTTCAAATTAATCTATTTGTTACATATTCTAAAGTAGATAACTAGTTGTTGATAATGTAAATTTATAAAAATATTTGTATTCTATTTTAGTTTAATATTGTAATGGTGTTACACGTATATAAACACTTTCTTTTTTATCTAGACTCATCCATTCTACTTGAAAACTAAAGTCAAAATCATAAACTTAATTCCAACCCATAAACCAAATGCAACCTAACTGCAATTGGTCCAACCCAAGACTCAGTCTTAAACCATTAACCCAAAACCACCACCAAATCCAAATAAATATATCAACCTTAAATATGAATTTGACCCAAGAGTTTGTTTAACAGAAAACAGATTTCAAAAAAGATTTTTTTTAAAAATAATTATATTTTTTGAAAAATAATTTTTGTAAATCATTTTACGTGTTTGGATGAAGCTATTTAAATAATTTTCTTGATTAATATTTTTTAGAAATTTTTTGTTTTAAATATTGAATCCAATAAGTAATATTAAATGTTAAAAAATTAATATTATTTATGTCAATATTATTTAATATATATATTATTTATGTCAATATTATTATTAAAATGTTGCTTTTATAATTTTATAAATAAAATATTAAGAATGTTATATTTTATTAAAATAAAAATATTATAAATTATATTAATTATTTATTAAAATAATAATATTATTATAATACAATTAAATTATATTTTTATAATTTTAAAAATATTATATTATATTATTAAAATTATTAATAAATAATCCATCCCTCCTACTTAAATTGTTCCTTATTGACTTTTTTGTCAAATTTTTTAATTTTAACTCATTATTAGTTAAACTTTATTATTGATAAAAGTATAGAAAATATATTTTAAATTTTTTTAATCAAATAGTTTTTGAAATATATATTTAATAAAATTTAAAATATTTAAAATAACCATGGTCCAAGTTTAAACATTTTGACTTTTAAAAAGTCAATAAGAGACCTTTTTAATAGGACAGAAGTAGTATATGTTAATAATTAACATTTTTATTAATTATTAATATTAAATACATAAAATAGTATTGTTTTCAGTGTTTATGCTTTGATGTGAAAAGTTCAGAAAATGACTTACGGAAAATCAGATATAAGTCATTTTCAAAAAAATGCAAGGGAAATTATGTTAACTAAGAAAATGAATTACATTGACCATATATTTTTCGTCAACTAAACATTAAAAAATGAGTAAAACATTTTTTGAAAAATCAATTATAGAGAATCAACATACCCTAAATCTAATTTGAATCTTTTTTCACTTAATAGAGTCTCTCCTAGTAGGACTCAATCATCAAGAGCAAACCTTAACCATTTGTATCCTCAACTACTGGACCTTATCCCTCATTCTTAAACAAGTTATACCTCTAAATCCAATAAAACCCAACGATTTCAGCTCTTAATCGATTGGATTCTCTCTTGTTTAACCTCAGCTCCCTACATGAAATCTTTTTAAAAAAATTGACAAAAAATAAAGACATAAAACCCTAATAAAATTATTTACGAAGAAACTTCAACCCAAAATCTTAAATCCTAAACAAAGGTCATGTATTAGAGAAGTAACATAAGGCGCAAATTATAATATGAACTCATACATTCATTCGGGGGTTTTTAGAGAATGTCACGACTAATTATAAATTCATATAGTGAGGATTTTCGTGATGGTGAATAGACAAACATATTATGAAAGTATCATAATTTGACGACCGAAAGGGATATTTTTATACAATTTCTTTAAATATATTCAAACTTGTTTTTTATGGCGAGTGGACAACATATCCCAAAAGCATCACAAATGGATCTCTAAGAACGATAATTGAATAATATAATTGAAATTTTAAAATGGAGTGATCAAAATACAAATATAAACATAGGAGAGGGATAGCTAGGCAAGGACTAAAGAGCCGGATTTAATATTTGGACTGCCTAAGCTATGTATTATTTGCAAAGAAATCGATGCACAATTAATTTAATCGTTAACAATCACCTTCTCATTATTAAAATTAATTTTTAAAAAATAATGTTAATTCTACCTAATAAACTTACGGATTAAGTCAATAATGTTAATTCTTGCACCAAATGACACTCTCACGACTTCACTGTGCCTTATTTTGCATTTCTAACCCTTTAAGATGTGACCTTAAACTATTGCAAAAGGACGCCTTAGTGCTGCTGAGACATTTGAGTTCCTTATTAACATGTGGTTGCTCCATTTATTTGTTTATATACCATTAACTATATCTACCAGAAGAATATGGTCTTTGGCAAACATTTATTTGACCATAAATAGCGGATTGATAATCAAATCATCCATTTTTAGTGTTTGGTAAACACCTATTTGAAAGAGTTTATTGTGCAAAATAAACTGAAAATAAAAACGCCGGAAAATCTAAAGTTTTGAATAATTGATTGCAAAATAAGATGTTAAATGACATATTTTACCTTATTTTCCCCCATAATTACATCTTTAACATAAAATCTAATATAATGAAAATAGTATTCGTCCTAATATATTTAAGCTAGAATTTTATTTTATTATTATATTTATTAGTGTAGATTCTCAAATATATTTTTGTTAAGAAAATATAGTAAAACATGAAAGTAAAAAAAATTATGTAGTGTTGATATTTTATACAAAGTTAATAGTCTGTATCAATCTCACAAGGTTAATATTTGTAAATATTAAATTTAAAAAATATGTTTAAAATTTTAAAAAATATTCACTAATTTTCTTAAGGAATTTTTAATTCATTGTCAAAAGCATTTTATCCAAATAATTTCACCTCAATAAAGACTAAAGTATGTTAAAACATATATGTACTTAACAACTAAATGTATCATACCCTTAATTGTCATTTTACCCATATCAGCTAATAACTAAAATTTACCAAACATTTCTATATAAACAATTAATCAAATTAGTTTATCAAATCAGTTAATCAAACCAGCTACTGAAATAAGCTATCAACTATCAGTTTATTTGTCAAACACCCTCTAAATCTCCGAAAGTTAGATGAAGTTTATTCCTAAAATATTGGGGGAAACTATTTCAGCTGTATGAAAAGTACTTCAAACCAGCTATTATAAAACTGATCATATACTAATCAGCATCATTAAAATAATTTTCCTATACACAAACACTGCTGAAAGTTTGTAGTGTTCGTTATTTAAAGATTAAATGAGCAGCTATACCTGTTATAACAATGTTCTTATTCATTATAAAAAATTGTTAGTTGATTTATAATGTTCAGTTTCCCAACCACCCCAACTTATTATTATTAATATTCTCCCAAAAGCATCCCTGCGACTGGTAGCTACAGAAAACTAATGGGATAATGTACATTTGAATATTAAAAATTATTTTGTTAATCATTTATACCATGACAGAGCCAAGTGGAATATGGGAGGGCCCTGCCCTCACTTGTTTTGTTTAAGGAGTATTAGTAAAATTAAACTTTGGACTCTTCAATTTATCTAGTTTAAATATTTTTAGGTCCTTGTACAATTTGTTACCTCAAGATTCAATCCAAATTTAGTTGATTGTTTATAATATATTGCCACTTTCCAATATCACTGTATCACTTAAATCTAAAGAAAACAAAATTTAAAAAATAATGCTATACAGGGTTCCTTTTGCCAGACTAAAAGGCTCAGGCAAGTAGGTTTGCTTCAACGTATGCAACACTAAAAGGCTCAGGCAAGTGAAATGTGATCAATCATCTTTAGCTTCGTATGATCAAAGAGAGAAGGTGATGAACTCTGTAATACTCCAAAACTCGGGTTAGTAGTTTAGGTCAACCCAAGATCTTTAAGTCGAGCCAATTAGACCTCCAAAGATAGTTGGACAAGTTATATAGGTATTGGGCTTAAGTAAGCCCCAAAAGTATAAGAGAAGAGATGGTTTTAAAAGTGAGTTAATAAGAGAGAGATCAAAAGTGTAGTTTATCCATAACCGGTTTTAAGAGTTAAAAACCCCCTCATTTAGCTAGATTTCACGGAAACATTCCACCAAAAATATCTCCATCTTTTCCTTTCTTCCTTCTCAAGAGAAAACAAAAAGATAAAAGTTTCTTGAATTCCAAACCTAGTTTAAAGAAATCAAGGTAAGAACCTTAATCTTCTTCCCTCAAGCTCCTTTTTAAACCCTAAATCTGAGGTTTTGGTTAATTTTTTAGAAAATGGGTTTTTGGAGAGGTTTATAGAATTTAAGAATCTAAGTTAGTTGAGAGGATTTGAGTTGTATAGAATGTTTTTATTATAGTTTCCAAGTCAAAAACAAGTTAGTAACTTTTAGATTTGTTTATGATTAGCTAAAGAAGTGGAAGACAATATCAAAGCTAGAAACAAAGGAATGATGATTCCTAGTAGAATTGAGAGAGGTTATAGCTTCCAAAGAATTTAGATAACACACTCACAACTCCCTCGTACCTTTTAGTGGGTCATTATAAATGCAAATAGCTAATGTTTGAGTATTGAAGCATGTTGAGTTCATTTTCATTGCAAATTATATGTTTTAGGATTATTATATGTTTTAGAGTCTTATTTATGTCCCTTAATATCACATAAGACTTAATAATAAATGAAAAACCTCAAGGTAGGAAATTAAGGACCTTAAGATGATTTTTAGAGTGTTTTGGAGAGTTTTTGGGGTTAAAAAGTGAATTTTGTAGTATAAGTTTTGAAACCCTTGGGCTGGTTTCAAAACCCTTGTCCATAATGACATTCTGCAGCAGAGGTTTTAAAACCCCCTCAGAGGTTTCAAACCCCTACCCAAAATGTCAAAAATGGCCCAAAACGTTGCTCGGGGGACCTTAGACCCATAGTATGACCATAAATGGGTTCGAATACGCGTAAAACACTAGAATAACTGTTGTAGATATAGGGTTATTGATACCTTGGGTAGGGTATTGATACTGATGAGTGGGTATCGATACTGTAAGGCCAATATCGATACCAAGGGTAAAGTCTGAGCTTAACCAAGGGTAAAGTCTGAGCTTAAAGCAAGATGAAGTGTAGAGGTAAGTGAAGGTATCGATACTGTAAGGCTAAAATCGATACTAAGGTTTAGTTTGGGCTTTAGTCCAAGAGAGTTTTAAGAAGAGATGAGGTTTTCCTAAAAGCTTTTAATTAATCTCAAATAAGAATACAAGTGGAACCAATAATAATGCTTAATGCAAACGTAGGAACATAAATGATTAGGACGAAATAAAACTAGCCTTATTTGATGCTCGAGAAACGATTTGGACACTCGAGTTCCTTTAGATGCTAGTGGAGTCGAAAGTATAGATTCAATAGGGCACAATGCCCTTAAAATCGACTAACTAAGGCCGAAGCCTGACACTCACAATGGGTGGGTTAGTTAGGGTATGGTGTCTGATGCAGAAATTCCGAGGGCCATATCCTCAGTAGACTAGAGGAGTGTGTGAGCTCCGAGATGCATAAATCCCTCAACCACACCATGATGTCTACCATTAGTGTAGAGAGTGAATATAACGAGGATATTCACTAATGATTGAGCAACTTGATGTGTTTCAGTGATGCACTGTTAGTATGTTTTAGTTGTTAGTGTGACGTTGAGCTAGTTAGCTCAACCTTCGGATGTTTCCATTGGCAGGTTAGTAGATCCATCAGTCGAGGAGTTTTAGAGAGACCGAGGTCCAGATCCAGTGCAGAGCAAAGTATGTCCGAAGTTCTTGAAGTGCATGTATATTCATAAACTCAGTTGTAAAGTCAGTTTAAGAGTAAGTTTGTAATATTTTAATTGTTAAAATGTTCTATTTGGAGAGCTCACCAGTGTAAAAGTTTCAATTATGTTTTATGTAAGATTTTTTATTTCAAAACGGTTGATTTTTATTATTACAATAGTTGTTCTAAAGTCCGTGAAAGTGAGAAAAAGTTTGGTCAGCCACTCCAGTGATTTCATGTGGCATCTGGATCAGTCGACTATTTGTCGTACTGGTTTAGGGTGTTACAAATCTAGGATTTAATCCACATAGGTAAACAGATTCGATTTGCAGTCCCTTTTCCTATCTCAAAACTCGACAGAAAGATCAAATGAAGAAAAAAATGCCAAACAAGAAGTTGAGGGAGAAAAGCTGATGTTTTCATTAATTAATATGACCAAACATTGAAAACATAGTGAATCTTTACATTAATAGATTGATCATATCAAAGTAATATATATATTCTTTTTCTTGGCTCAACAAATGGATCAACCTATAAATCCGGTGTTATCAAAAACCCTTGAGGGAACAGCAAACCGAGCTGAAAAAGACCTGGAGAAATCAGAATCAGCTGAGATCAAGCCCTGATCAAAATTCTGTGCGTATGTATGAGGATCATAAGATACATTAAGCACCCCATTAGTACTCCTGGATGAACAAATAAACATCTTCTTCTTCTCCCTCATCAACTTCCGCCATAGCAGCTTCCACCTCGGCAGCTTTGATGTGGTCGTCACGAATACATTGATCGAAAGCATCCGGTCATAGCGGTTACTTCTCCATCTCAACTCCTGGATGCCTGAGCTGCAATGCTTGCTAACTTCCATGGTGGGGGTTCTGCTTTTTCAAGCCTTGTTCAGGCAGGAAGGTAAAAGCACCTATGGATTAATGCATTAGGACTAGGGTACTACTTATATACACGATGCTTCTCAAGTCCAAACCTATGATGCGCTAATAATAGGATAGGATTCATTTATGTTTCAAAAGATAAACCAAAATATCAGGCTTAATTTGACTTTGCAATATTTGATCCTGAAATTATGCTGCATGTGATGGTAGGCTTATTAATGTTCCCTTTGTCTATAATTATTGATTTATACGGAGCGGCCTTTTCCTTTTCCTTTTATGTGCCGGAGGGCCCCAATTAAATGTCTCATGGTCATGGGCTATGGTACTCAGATTATTTTAAAAATTTTGTGTACGAAAATAAATAATTTAAAATTCGATTAAATATATTAAAAAAATCAAACGACATATCTGTAACGGAATACATTATGTAACTCGAAGGATGCTCTCCAATTAAAATTAAAGGAATGTGATGTGATCGTGATCAAAATACAGTTTGATAATCCTTTTCATTGCTTGACATGTGATCATTTTAGTAATAAAAAAGTGAGCTCAACACTTGATTAATTTTTTTATGAGATTATATCTTATAGTATTGATGTTATATAGTTTATGATGCAACGCAAGAAAAAGGAAATTCAGTGAAAATCTACTCTTTTTTTGAAACATATTGATAAATTCGTCTATATTATTTAATATCATGAAATGCTTTACAAAATCCTGTTTCAAGATCTATATGCAAATATGGTTCTGGGACACTCGTGAATCTTTCAGCTTTCACACGTCTCTTGCGATCCAATCCAACTCAACCCAATGCATTTGCGTTGGCATCATCGCTTCCAACTTCATTTCTAGAAATACGAAAACAAACGGAGCACGACATCAAAATTTTCCAGAAATAAACAGCCTGTAAACCACCCTAATTCTGGTGCTTCATTAGTTTCTTTCGTTTTCAGAATAAAATCAATTATGAATTCGTTTAGTTCTGTCTATACCTGTGGGTAACAGTTTTGACGAATAACGGTCTGATTAATTGTGTGTACCACGATCTCGCACAAGACTTTTGCCTGTTGAATATTACACAATAAAAAGAATGTAAAGACTAAAATTATAAAACCGGAAGAAATGGTATTTCTCGTTGTATAACATTAATGCTTGATGACCACTCCCATTCCATCGTATTTCTCAAAACAGGGGGTTAATTTGACGAGCTTAAGCAACAATTTCATCATTTTGTTCAGTCAAATGATAAGTTGGTATGGATCAACCTCAATGGTTTGTTGCTTAACCATTTTTTTCCCTTCCAATAAATCATATTGTGTCAATCCACATCACACCCAAACATGAAGGAAGACAAACCTTAAAGCTTAATTTACCCAAAAATGATAAGGACCTAAAAATGAATTTAAAAAAATTGGGGGGGAAGACTTAAAAAGTTTGTGGGAGGGTCGAGGGGTATTAACTAAAAAGAAAAAAGGAAGGAGTAGCTTTTTTACCTTCAAAGGGAACTTAAATAATGACAGACCGAGCGAGCCGGTGACTTCCGTAACAGTATCAAACGGGACAGTTCCTTTGGCAAAATCCTCCAGCAAATACACAACATCCGACAACACCTCTACCCCCTTAAGCTCAAGCCGGGTCTCCACGTAAGAGGACCCCATCGCCCTCACATGACCATGCTCCCACGTCACGTGTCCCAGCATCTTACCTCTGTACCCGACGGCGACATCCAAGCTGGTGACGTCCATGGAGTACACGTCGGAATTCCTCACTTTCAACGTAATCAGCATAGATACATCCAACGAAATGATGGGTACGGTATGGATTTTCATGTGTTTCACGTGCATCCTTACGATTTTAATGGTTGGATCGGTGGGCCAGAAAATGTACACCAAGGTAACCAACAAGACCAAGGAAGCCGTGCCGGTGCATAGTCTCCGACAGCCGTACCAGCAGAGCCGTCCTCCCGTGGAGTAGTAGCGCAAAACGACGTGGCTCTCATCAGGAGATTGAGGTGATAAAGCAGTGTAATAGTGGGATGGCGACGGTGGTTCTTGTGGCGGTGATGGTTGTTCGAGTTTTGAGAGAGTCATTTGGCTTTGGCCTTGTGTGTTTGAGGTTTTCTTTGGACCAGCTGGGAGTGAGTGTTTATTGGGCAATTTTACCCAAATAACACCTAACAAAGAAATATTACATGTCAGGCACAATTTCTCCAAATATTACCGATATAACATCTTTTCTGAAAAAGTACAGATCATGAAGCACACCTTTGCGGGGTTTTGTTCAAACTGGTGCCACGGTGGAAAAGCGTGGATCATGAAGCACGCCTTCGCGGGGTTCTTTCAAAGCTGGCGCCATGTAGTAAAGTCACGGATCATGAAGCGCGCATTCGTTGGGAAATCTGACACGTGCGTGCAAGGCGCGGATCACGAGGCACGTCTTCCATTATTCACTTTAAATTATTGTGCACTCCATTATTACATGAGCCTTAACTCTCTCAGTTATACACCCATCACCCTCCCCTATAAATACCCCCGAATACAAACATCAAACCACACCAAAATTACTTTCACATTATTACTTCTATCAAGCTAAGTAGATTTTGTTATAGTTTTTAGAATGTAAAATTATTTTTTATTATATTATATTTATTTTATATTTAATTATTTGATCAAATATTATTGTACTGATTATTTTGTATTATTTTTTGCAGTTTAAAATTGAAGGTGAAATCATATCTCGAGACATTTTGCCGATACGGTAACAATATTAAATTATGTTATTTAAATTATTGTGATTTTTAGCATTATTTTATATTTTAATTCGTATATTATTTATTTAATTAGATATATTTCAAATATTATTTTTGGAGAGACTCTCAATCTTTCAAACTCTCAAAGTTTCAAAATAAGGTGTATTTCATCTATTGTTTACTATGATGGAGAAATTCAGGAAGATGAAACCAACGTTGTCTTCACATCAAATCATTCAGTCAGAATATCCTTCAAGAGAAACATCACTCTTGAGGAGATGTTCACTAAAATTTTAAGGAAGGTTCATGTTGGAAGTACTAGAAGACTATCCTCATTTCCATACAGATTTCCAACTACACTATTTACGTTAACTTATACAACGTTCGAACTCTCCAACGATGACGATGTTGCTATGATGGTTGATGTTCAAAATCAAAATTAAGACGCTGATACACAAACGTATGCCACATTTGTTGAAGTGTTTGTTGTTCGTGGTATGTTATTATGCTCTCACTATGGGTTGACTCAACAAGCTGATCAAGTTGACAGATCGACTCAAGTTATGTGTAATGATTTTAACCCGTTAATGGAAAACTCATATCCTGGTACCATCCCATCAAGTTCAACGAGGAGACATTCATCAACAACTTGTTACGATCTCCACCGAGGTGGCTCCACGAACAATCCGTATGACAACATCGCTTCCAGTTCAAAGGGGAATGCATTCATCTGTCAATTTCTTTAAACTGAATATGGAGATGCCCTCGACACAACAATCTATTTAGTATCCATTTGACATGATGGCTACAAGTTCCAGAGGGAAACATTCAACTGCGAGTTTTTTCGACCTCAATATGGAGATGTATGTGACACAACACTCAGTTCAAAACCCGTACAACACGATGCCTTCAAGTTTAAGGGGAAAACATTCAACTACCATCTTGTTAGACCTAAATATCTACATCACAGAAGAACCCTCATATCCACCAGAATAAACTCTTCGTGAGTCAGGTGCAGATGGTGCTGAGACTGGACTATTCGTTAAGCCAAAATCACCACAGTTTAACATGGACTCCGATGATGATGATGTAGATGAAGTTCCCAAAAATATGGTACAAGGAACATTCAACACATGTCTGAAGCTAACTATGACGCAATGTACAGGCTAAAATTTACGGATATGCCTAATATTGGTAACTACGGATTTAACTCATCAGTCAATGATGATGAATTATATATCGGAATGGAGATTCCATCCAAAGATGAAGCGACGATTGCAATTAAAAATTATAACATTCATAACTCTGTTCACTCCAGAGTCAACCGATCCACCATCGGAAAGTATGTATGTTATTGTGTCCAACATGATAACGGATGCAACTGGATGGTTCGTGTATCAAAGAGGAAGAGGAAAAATGACATATGAGAACTAACAATATACAAAGGTTCTCGTACATACTATGCTAGACGGATTAACCAGGACTATCCCAACTTGGACTCCGACATTATCTGTTAAGCCATCATGGCCATGGTCAAAGCAAGCTACCATATAGCTATTGCAATGCTGATTTCAGCTATACAATCTCAATATGAGCACACTGTCTCCTACATGAAAGCATGGAAGGTAAAGCAGAATGTCATTAAAAAACTTCACGGCGAATGTGATTCATCTTACATCGAACTACCAAGTTGGTTTAGGGTAGTGCGCATATTAAATCCTGGGACAGTAGTGGACTTCGAAACTTGCCATGCATACCACAATGATCGAGTGTTTCGCGATCGATGTCAATTCTACCAGTTTTTTTGGAATTACCTACAGTGCATTAATATTGTGAAATACTATAAGCATGTGATTTAAATTGATGTGACATTCTTGTATGGAAAATACAAGCAAGTTTTGTTATTGGCAGTTGTCTAAAATAATAATCACAACATTCTTCCAATTGTTTTTCCCTTGTTGAAGGAGAATATATAGATTTTTGGGCTTTTTCCTAAAAAACTTACGCTTACATGTTGTCACGAGAGAAAAAATATGTGTCATTTTATATCACGGAGTTGAGATCAAAGCAGCAATGGAGTCTTTGGGTCCAATGTGGTATGCACCCTATATCCAACATCGATAATGCATATGACATATTGCTACAAATTATAATGGAAACTTCAAGAATAATGGTTGCAATATGCAAGTCCGGACAAATATTTGAGCATGTTCCTCGGAATAGTCGTCGCCCAACTATAAAAAATTTCTATCCAACCATGATAACGGTATTCAACCACTATTGAAATTAGGCAGGACACCTCCAAGATACTCTCCTCACAAGGAATGTCAATCACCATCCGCCACACCAGAAATAACATGCCCATCTACCGGAAGCCCCAAATGTAATAAAACATCCTCTAGCGTAATAATACACTCCTCACACTGAAGATGGAATGTGTGTGTCTCTGGTCTCCACTTCTCAATCAGTGCAGAAATAAGGTTGGATTCAAGGTTATAGTGCCCTTCATATTTCACTATGTAACCAAATCCAACTTCAGCTAAATACGACCAGACAAGAATCGGTGTCTCTAATTTAGTGTTACAAATAAATGGATCTAATATATGATCATTCACCTAATTAAATAAATAGTATACAAATTAAAATAAAAACTAATACTAAAAAAATAAATGAATAAAACATTCACAGTAAATAAAATAATAAAATTTAAAATTATTATTGTATTAGCAAAATTACTCGATATATGATTCTCATCTAAATGTAGCAACCCACCTGCCATTTTATAACCGCAAAAAGTAATAAAAAAATGGTACAATAAATTATAATAACATAATAAACTATTAAATGATTATAATATAATTAAAAAATTTAGCTTCTAAAAACGATAAATATACTTACTTAAAACTTGATAGAACGATATATAGAAGTAAGAAATAGAGTGTTTTTTGTGTGATATGAGTGTTGAATGAGGAGATATTTATAGGGAAGGGGACGGGAGCTTGGGCGGTATTTAAGGCGGGACTGTTGGGATTTAAAGCAAAGGCATGTTTCATGATCCGCACTTTACCACCGTGGTGCCAACTCGGATAGAACCCCGCAAAGGCACATATTATGATCCGTGCTTTTCCACGTGGTGTCAGCTCGGACAAAATCCTGCGAAGCGTGCCTCATGATCCGCGTTTTGTAAGAAAGGGTGCTAGATCAATAATATTTGGAGAAAAGGTACCTGATAGATAATATTTAACTGTTAGGGTATTTTTGGGTAAAATTGCTTGTTTATTGAAGAAAGATAACCTAGTTTTTAGAGGAAGGTGGGTTTTTTGTTTGCTTCCACTCCAATCATTGATGGTTGCTTTAAATATGAAACATTTGTTTTATTGTTTATTTATTTATTCCTTTGTTTGTTTCTGGATAAATAATTATTAGTAAATTGAAAATAAAGAAAGATAATAATTATAGATAGAAGTGAAAAAATTATAATTAATAGATTAATGAATTATAATAGAATTATATGTAAATATCTTTAATTATAAATATATATATATATATATATATATATATATAGAATTTATAATCTTTAGAACTTTTAAATCTTATTTTTCCAATTTATTTTATCATAAAATAAATCACATCATAATTTTTTTTACTCTTGAAACACCGGTTTAATTTATTGAAACAAATAAAACATCAGCCACTAAAGTTGCACAAAAACTTTTTAAACAAGAATAAATGAAATTTAGATTATATATTTATATAATCATATAAAAAGAAAATTAATAATTATTTATATCATTAGTTTTGTAATTGTGTTTGATGCATGACTATAGAAAGGTTAATGAATGAATTTTTGGCTGATTATTTAAGTCACAGTTTCATTTAATTATAAGTTTTACATATTCTTTCCCTTACCGGCCCACTGCCTCGCTTTCATGTCTTGATTTTTCCAATGAAAGTGGAGATTAGGTTTAATGGATATAAAATATTAAAGTGTGATTTTAGTATAAATTCATTAATGTCTTTGTCAAAGTTTTGATATGATTTGGTTAAACTTTGTTTTCTTGTTGCAAACTAACACACGGATTAATGGCTATTGCCTTATGCACATCATATATGCCAAAAAAGTGGTACTCACTAAAGGCAACAATTTTTGGAATTTTAATGTTCATCCCTCTTGTAGTTGGAATTTAAGGCGTATTTTTAAACTTAGAACTAGGCTTCCTCCGTGTTGAGTGCTGGAACTATGAAAGTTTCTACAATTTGGGATGCACTTCGTGATAACAGACCCCAAGTCTACTGGCAGAAAATTATTTGGTTTCCTTTGCACATTCCTAAGCACAGCTTGATTTCTTGGATGGCATTACTTGATAGACTTCCAACAAAAGTGAGACTTCACCAAATGGGGATTATCAATGAATGCCATTGCTTATTTTGCAACGATCCTTGGGAAACAAGGGAGCACTTGTTCCTCCATTGTCATATGGCGCAGCAATTATGGAATTCTGTTTTCACTCACACTGGTCTTCAACTTTCCATAACTTCTTGGGATGTTTTTTTTGCATGGGCAAGCTCTACTTGGAAAGGTAAATCTTTGCTAACTTTGATCTTGAAGCTTGCTCTTAATTCCCTCATCTATGTCCTATGGGAAGAAAGAAACAGGAGGCTCTTTCAAGGTCAATGCAGAAACACTCGAGCTGTTTACTGTCATTAAGGATGTGGTGCGATTCCAGCTGAGGGATAGGAACATAAATAGAAATGATAGCACTAATTCTACCCTTTGTACACTTTGGAATATAAACTGCTCTTAATTCTTTTGTATGTAAATTTTTTTTGGTAAACAGAACACTGCTGGTTTTGTAGCAGTTTCTGTCCTGGTTGTGGAACTTGTTCTTTGGATAATGAAGCTGATTATTTATCCAAAAAAAAAAATTAGCTCCCGGAGGACTCAAATATAATAAGTACAATATTTAAAACAAATTTTGTAAGGACTGGCTCTTTTGTTTACGTTGTTTTTTATGCTTTAAATTTGTTGGGGGATTTTAAACCAATTATTGAGCCGAAAGTATTTATGTAACCTGTTAATCATGATTACTGAAATTCATCTTCCAAAAGTTCTAGTCATTCATTGAAAAGCAGCCAAAATCTGTGTATGTAATAAACAAGTAAATATATTAATATCATCATTTATACATGTATCCAAATCTATATGTACAAGCTTTCTTCTTTTTTGCTAATGACCGTGAAATGCATTTTTCATAACCAAATCTAGAGCTATACATGGTGATGAATGGATGGATGGAACAACAAATTCATTTCCTTTAATGCCTTCCAAATCTGAAACTTACTAGAAAGACTATCAGTGTATGGTAATATCTCCTAGTTTATACAGTGTATACACACACAGAGAGACACACATAGGTGTATATATAAATGTTCTTTTATTGCCTTCTTAGAGATGCAAAGTGAGCTGCCAAATCATCATAATCCGGTAGCTTGGGATGGACATGCCAGCAAGCATGTGTGGCTGAAATGATGAGGCTCTGGTATGCCTTCCTACTCTCTCGGTCGAACTAGTTGCTTCTTTGGAGAAACCATCAATTCTGGCCGGAAGAGCACTTGGGTCGGATTTAGTGCTTCGTACGCCTGGACCTTTATTCGAGTTGTCGGACTCTTGTCTTCCGGGAGGAGGTGCTAGACTTTGAGTTGTGTTATTGGATTCTTGTGTTCCGGGAGGAGGTACTAAACCTTTACTTGTGTTGTCAGATTCTTGTCTTCCGGGAGGAGGTGCTCGGAGTGCTGTCTTCCATTTGCTCAACCATTCGTAAGGTGATTTCTTCTTGCTGTAATGCAGCAAAAGCTCATCCATTTTCTTCTCTTCTTCATCCCTCTTATTACCGTCTTCCTTTTGTTTGGATGTCAAACTAATATTTGGAGTTCCATTTCCAAAACCAATTAAACCTCTCCATGCCGATATTGGTTTCAAAGGTATCCTCCTAATTGATATTGGTTCTGGCTTACTTTCTCCAAGAGAGTCATCCCATTTATTGTTTTTCACCTTAATAATATTATCACTCGGTGCCATAGGCTGCTCCATGATGTCATCTCCTTTGCCCTGTGATGGCCTTACATAGGGAGGAGGAATGAACCTGTAGTAAGAGGGCTTCCTGTTCTCTATACCATCCTCGGAAACACTTCCATCCGATGAACTAGTCTTTGGCATATCTTGATCAGTCACTTCACCTTCACTGCTGCTATTCATCTTTAACTTATCATCAGTATCCTCCGTTCTCCCACGAGAAGTGATGTCTGTTTCATTTCTTTTTGGACTCCTGGACTCGCGCACGTTACTAAGTCCATTGTCATTGTTGTGATCAGTTCTTCTCTCGAACGTATCATCCTTGTTTCTATGCAAATTGTATCTATCATCATCAGCAACACCTGGAGACTTGTGCTGGGCCTTGTTCTGCAAGAAAAGTCATATACAAATTAAACAAGTATTTTGTTACATCAAAAGGCAATGCATTCAAATTCAAAGTCGTCGTGCCACTCATGTTGCAACATGATGCAGTGTTTTACAAGGTCCTAGGCCGGAGGTTTACTCGCTCTAGTAGAGGTGGCTTAAACAGTTTCTGTTCCAAAGCCTTGGAATCCCATTCAATAGAAAACTCTTGAGCTATGTCATGCATTAATTTAAGCTTCATCTCCTTTGTGGGAGGCTCCACCTTTAGTTTCTGCACAAACTGTATGTAAGCAATTATCCTGATTAGCACGAGCAGAGATAATATTACTAAGAATAGAAGACCACAAATGACCTCGAGTTAACCATTTATTACCTCTTGATTCAAATAAGACTCTAGGGAGTTTCCATATTTCTCGGTAAATATGGTCCTGAGATCACGCAGTTCGGGCAAATCAGCAAATCTGCTGCAGCATATATTAGAGACTGTACAGCTTCTCTGCATTCCTCTGGGCATTCACTGTATTCAAAGAGAAAATATGGATCAAATGCAAGCATTTCCCCGCGCCATTATGCTTGAGGGTCGAAATGTGGACACGATATTTGATTTAAGCACTTGATAAGATATTAGTACCCCAATTAGGAATAGGCTACAGAATACTATAAATTCAAGCATCTCGACCTACCTCTGCTTTTGCATGACTGAGATATGCTTTGAGATGGAGTCACAGAACTGCTCTATGAGATCGTAACAAGCCGTTCTCCTTTGCTCCATCAGAAGACCTTCGGCCTGCATACATTGCTCAATTTGGATATATCAGCACTCAGATAAATGTCGATGCGCATGAAGAAATTATTAAATTCCAACTTAGTTGAACATTGAGCCAAGTAATTAAAGCCTACATTTAAATTGCTTGTAAATAGAGGTCTAACATGGTCTGCATATTAATCACACTAGTTGGTTCAAGTAGGGAACTATAGGTGTTTAAACCGCCTAATGCTCATTGAAAGCAAACAACAGCTATATAGACCCTCATTGCACATCAACCCTAATGAATGCCAGTACAAATACTGGTACTTTAGCAGCTCATGTCATAAAATTAATGCTGCCTTGTCCTCAAAGCATCATAATGACAACTGTGACCAGGAAAACATTCTGAACAGTCGTAATCTTCTGATGTTCAGTCGACATGCCCTTTTAAACCTCCGAACTAGAAACCAATATAGTAGTAGGCTAAAACAAATAACAACTTGAAGGCAACACAGACTAATAATGTTTTTTGTTGCAATTGCTGCATGGCATTAAGGAATCTAAGACCAATTAATAAAGTTGGCAACATATATGAACATCATAAGTAACAATAATGAAGCTGAAGTTTCAGGCTTTGTTACAAAAAGCTATCGCGTGAATGGTGAAACATTGAGCAAAAAAAGTAAAAGATGTAACTATAGTCGAAGTAATTACCCTGCTGTAAGCATTGTAATCGAGACCATTCATGAGAAGATCAGCCACGTCGTTCTTCAAAAACTTTTCCACCGCATTTCTTTTCTTCTTTATGGTCTCCAGTCTCATCTTAATCACCTTTATAGCCGATTTGCTAACCAAACAAAACATGAAAAAAATCCAACTAAAACGATAAACTAAATGTAACAAAGTATCAAAACTCCACGCAAATAATGAAAGAAGCAAGAAAAAAATTTGGGTTCTGTATGCCTAACCATTTTGTATAGAACTTCGGCTTAATCAACAAGTCAAACATCCTGAGAATCAAAATTGAAAGGTAGACAGCTTTCTCTCTTTTGGAGAATGAAACGGTGTGTTGAAAGAAGAGAAATATTTATGACCAGGTTTATAATAACATTGAACTTAAAGTTTGTTCTTCAAGCTACACCAGGAAGGTAGGAATCTGCATGTTAAAAACCCAAAGAAGCAAAGAAAAGAAGCTCTTTTTTAAATGCAAAAAGCAAAGTTTTAAGATAAAAATTTCCACGAAAGTTATTCAGTTAAAAGGAAAAGAAAGTGCCAGAAGATAATGAGACGGGAAAGCTATATTGGGTGTGTTTATAGCAAAGCAAAAGAAGCTGAAACGAAAGGAATATGAGAGGTTTTAACTATTAAAGAAGAGAATGGAAAATGCTCTGTTTAAAGAATCTGTAAAGAGGAAGGGATGGATACATGAACTCGCAGTATAACTAACTTAGACAGGAAAGAAATTATATGAAATTTCGGATTTAAACACACACAAAAAAACTAAAATTATTTAATGTTAAATGATTGAAAATTATATTTAAATTTTTACTATTTTTAGTTATCAAATATTAAAGTTAAAAGTTAAAATACTTTTATATCTTATATCTTTTTTCCATTTTTAATATTGTTTGAGTTTATTCAAATCTATATATTATTTATATTATTAATTAAGTTTATAATTAAATTGTTGTCATATAGTATTTGGACACTAATCCAATTGAAAATAATTTAAAAATATAATTCATATTGTTATAATATTTATATATAATTATAAAATAAATAATTAAATTATTGTTTTAAGAATTAAATAAATAATAATAATAGATTTATATTTAAATTCTTTATCATTTTTTTATTAAACTAAGATGATTATAAAGTAATATTTATTCTAAATACTCTCGACCATTTGATAATGAACGCTCAATCACACTGCTGCAGTCGCTGGTGCTCGAACACGTGACCTCTAAAAACAACGACTCCTTTAACCACTGAGATAAGATGGTTCGTGCCTTTATCATCTTTCTTATGTAATGATTGAATAAAAATGTATAAATATGTTCTCACTTCCGCATCATAAATGCGATCAAATTGGATACAGTCAATACTTTTGATTGAATTGATATGAAAAATAATTGTAACACGTTAATTTAACCTGATATTTTATGGAAAATATATGTTTTCTTTGAAAAAAATATAATATATATTAATTAATAATTCATTTGTAGTATGAAAATGCATTCTTATTATATTTGTTTTGTTTTTCTTAATCAAAATTAAGTTTTTTGGTTGGACACATCCTTAACGATGAGAAGGAGAAGGGAGACGTAGTCAATGCTGGACTTGCTTAAAGGACGCCTGCAAGGATGTTTGCCCATTAATATGGCAACTGACAAAAGTATGCAAACAAAATCAAAATATGAAACGAAAGCTATGGTTGATAGTGTCGTTAACAAATTAAACTTGTTTACATTTAATTTTATCTCCTCAATATAAGGTTTCCTTA